ATTAATTGAAACAATTTTACAGTTTTGTGACAACCAAAAATTTACATATGATTTAATAAATTTTTTGAAATTGCAGAATTAAGAAGGTTACTACGTCCAACTTGTATAACATATAAATGTGCCAACTATCTCCGGAACCTCTTGTATAAATTTTACAAAATTTTGTACAGTCGTTTATTAATGTTCAATGATGATGTCGAAAAACAAAAATTGAACTCTTTGTGATTGATCATGCTATTGTCATGTGTTACGTTTGTGTTTTGAACCAAGCAAGGCAACCTCAAAACCGAATCTAATTATTCCAACACAGGGCTCTGTATTGTCTTGGCATACAGAGGTCTTGATCGGACCTGAAAACAAACAAATCAGGTGCCTTTTTAAAATATAAATTAATCAAAATTTTAAAACAAATTTATTAATTCAACGAGGCAATATTGACAGTGAGCACAAATTAAATCTCTTTCATCTTTTCTAAATTTTAAAACAAAAAAACAATTTTTTGGATTTCACCAAACAGGAATTAAATTCATTAAAACTATGTTCAAACTATTTGACAGACTGTAAACAAAGATTATAGGAATTAATTTTATGACAATCCACTGGGAACTACAACTTTTTTTTGTTTTAGAATCTAACACTTCTGCTCCGTCATGGAAGCATGGGCAAAATTGATAAGAATTTCTAAGTAACTGAACTCCTTATCAGGTACATAGGAAAGATTTAGCTAAACTTCTGAATATGAATATTGATGATTGTTCACTAGTTTTCGTGGTCCGCTTGACCAATTAATATCATTCAATTAATTAAGGTTTTTAGTTGATATAAAAAAATGAGTTCGAATTCCGCTCGTGACGCTGACTTTTTTATCTCAACTAAAAACCTTAATTAATTGCTTAATATTTGTAATTTATACCTATTCTTTTAATTAAGTTTTTAAATATTATGATCATGATTTCAGCGTCTTTGGGTATGTTTTCTTATCAGAGGCGAAAATAAATTGAAAATAGTTTTTTTATCAAAAACCTCGTGAAAAAGTCTGTCACGGTTCGAATCGTTACACTGGTCTGTCAACTCTTTTACTCGTGGGCAAAGACGTTTGTCGTTGAAATGTGTGTTGTGAAGCATGGGATCGAACATCAACAGAAATGTAGTTTATATAGCTTTAATAACAAAACTCACATCTCCTAAAATATATATATTTGTTGATTAAAAAAATATATTTCAATATAAGAAAAACTTGCAACGACGAAAAAACCGATTAAAAATGACTCATTTATTAACAAATCACCAATAGATTAATTTTAAACTAAACTGCCAAAAAATGAAAAGGGATATTTTTAATTTATTCTTAGTCTATTATTTTTAATTAACTTAAATGATATATTTTTTTAGTTGCATAAAATAAAATCGAAAATACAAACAAAAAATTGTCAATCACCATTTATCAAAACAAAAGATTCGAAATAGTTTGTGGAAAGTTGGCCTCACATCTTATGCCCCTTTGCGACGTACTGCAGTAACAGTTCGCCACCAGCGACTTAGGAGAATATGGTGCAGCGAGTGCCTAGAAGAGAACAACGATAGTAATCTTTTTAAAAAGATAGTTCCTGCTCACAGTGAATTGTTTTCAATGATCCGGATTTCGAGCCTAAAGCTCATCATCAGGTTGAAGGAGCTCTACAACCACGTCTCTTGACATGAATTGCAAGTCTGAAACCCCCGGTCCGCGGCCATCGTGATGTTCCAATGAGGAGCTGAATTGTGGCTTATAACGTGGGAAAAGAGTTATAAACCGCTTAAATATTATAATAATAAATACTCTAAGAATGGTCGGGGAACCGAGGGGTTCATTTTTGCAATTCATTCCGAGAGACGTAGAGCTCCTTTAACCTGATGATGAGCTGTAGGCTCGAAATCCGTATCGTTAAACAACTTACTGTGAATAGAAACTATCTTTATAAAAAGACTGGACAACACACTCACTCCACCAGTTACCTTTTCCAACGTAATGCTGTTATGTTTACTGATGAGTCACATTTCTGTCCGGTCGTTGCAGTTGCTTCTCCTATCACTATACAGACAGAAACGCGACCACGTCTGCTATCGTGACTTCGCTCGTGTTCGAATCCCGCTCGTGACACTGGCTTTTTCAACTTAGCCATAACCGTAGATAAAAAGTGTAATTAATTTAGTTTTTTTCAGTTGTGCTATAATCTGTGTAATTTAAATAATTAATAAACTTAAAGCTCATGTGGTTAGAGTTCAGCCGAAGTTCGTGGGTTCGAATCTGCTCGTGACACTTTTTCGTCTCAACCAAGATCTTCGATAAATTGATGTAAAAAAATTTCTTCTTCTGGCATAGTTCCATGTTTTATATATTATATGCACTTAAAATTTTTTAAATTCTTAATGCTTTAGCAGTTTTATGAATTCGGTCCAGTACGAATTAACATCGCTGTAAATGCAAGGGCTATAAATCTTTATTTCACATTTAATTTAATAAGAACATTTTATCTTCATCTGCGAAATAAAAGTTTATATCGAGAATTCAGAATAATATTTCGTACAAAGTGTAACTCTAATGTTTTAAATAGTAAACTAACGTAAGTGCATAAATATTTGTTATCAAACGACTATATAAGCATGCGTTCGGATATTTTTTTAGTGTTTAAGGGTGGCCTTTAATTTTTGAGTTGATTTTTCAGCATCGTACAATACTTCGTAAACGTTTGGTAATTTCTTACAAATTTTGCGGTGTGATGTCGGCGGGTTTTTTCTGCCTTTTTTACGTAGTTGTAAGGAACAAACGTTGGTCCACTTGTGGAGTGTTTTCTCGTCGCTACCTCTTCATCACAAAAGAAAAGGCCAAAGTGCTCATGTCTCAAACCAATTTATTTCCGTCAGAGTTCAATTCTTCCTGGTCATCTTCCCTTTCCCTTCTGTCCTTGGACTCTAATATTTTTTCTGTTTTCCCATCACGCAATTCCATGACTGAATGGACGCCATATGTATGTTATTTAACATATAATTTTTTATAGATCCCTTTATGTTCTACCATGTTATTTTTGGGTCTTTATGATTCTACATAGTACTTTTTTCAAATTTGTGTTCACCTTAACGATAATTTTATGTTGAAGGCAACGTTATACTATTTATCCATAAATGTTAAGCGGCCATAATTGACCATATTATTCATTACATTAATTATTCTAAGTCTAGGTTGAGATGAAAAAAAGAACTTACATAAAAAGAATAATTAATTGAAATAAATAATATGGTCAATTCTGACCACTAAACATAAATGAATTAGTTTTATGTTGATATTTTTTGACACTTTATATATCTTAGTTTGTTTTATTATTTGTTACAACAGCTTTATATACAGTTATTATTATTTATTAAGTACTCTCCATTACAGTTGCTGCTTTTAAAACTGTCTTAATTTATCTTTATTGTACTTCATTTGATCAAAACTTAAGGGAAAATTTACAAACGTTTTAAAATTCTAATNACCTACACTGCCTCTAAAAACTACCCTTTTTTGGGTTGTGTCACTGTTTTTGCATATATTGGCTCTCGGTATTTTAAGAGGTTTTTTGCTCTAACGATAATGGTGATCAATGAATGACTGAAAGGTATTAATTTTTTTGTGATAGTAACAAACAACATACAAACTAGCACAAATGCCCATGTAGTAAGTTTTATTAAGATTATTCAACAAGCAATATTAAGATTATTTTTGGCTCAAATGTGCTTACTTCCTGGAATCAGCTATTTAAAATATAAAATTAATTATTGAAATATTGTGTTAAAAATGAGGTGTAGCTTGTAAATAAGGTGTTATTGATTATTAAAAATATTGTAATTAAAATATTAAAAATTCGTTGAAACTATAAAAAAAAATATATGTTTAGCGGTCATAATTGATTCATTTAATTAAATTAAAAATAATAATTGATTGATATAAAAAAAACATTTAAATGAGTTTTAGTACTCAGGAAAACATGTTATTGGTAAAAAAGCCACAATAATTTGATTTAAAAAATACAACAAAAATAAAAAGATAAACATATTTTTAACACCCTTACCTAACTTCTTGTAGCATATTTCCATGTTTTATGTGTTATATGCACTTAAAGTTTTTTTTTTAAATTCTTAGTGCTGTACCAGTTTTACGAATTCGGTCCAGTACGAATTGACATCGCTGTAAATGCAATAGTTATAAATCTTTATTACACATTTAATTAACGCTTCGGACACTATAAAACAGGAGTACAATCGTTTCTATGATGTATCGAATAATTAGCTTTAACTTCCCTATTATTCAGTCGACATGCTGGAAGAGTTATAATTGCACCGACATACCATTCTCTGTAACCATTAAAAAAAATAATTTTGTGGATGTAAACTTCTACATCTTTCAGATACAAAACGACGAACGACATTCAACTATATTAGAAACACACATTCTCTTTTTCACTCTCTCTCGGTGGTGAAATGAGAGATTTTAAGTTGTTTAAAAAATATTACTTCAAAGCTGGAAATTAATGGTTAGTTTACGCAAATGTGACACAGAAACTACATTTTATGTTTTTTCTCGATAAAAGTATTAAATAGATCAAAACCCTGCTTTTAATATTTTGGCAGTTCTTACATGTCGACAATTTTCCTCCGCTATGCGCAATGTCATTATTTTGGAGGGAAATCTGATCAGTGTCTCTAATTGACAAGAGCGATGGTTCCCAGAGTTTGATAAACTGTTTATTTAGTACGATTTTGTTTTGTAATTGTAATGAACTAATTAGTCGTTATGAAGTTGTTCAATGGGTCACAAGATGAAACAAAGCAGATAATGAAGACCTCGCGGAAATGAAAAACTACATAATTCAGTTCACCTTAAGTAGTCAAAGACGGTCTCGGTGCCAACACTCAAGTAGAATATCGAATCAGGAAAGGGTTAAATGAAAAAAAATCCTTATAAATTTACATATAAACATTACCTGTGAGCTAAAAGATCCTAGGCAAAGTCCTGAGCGATTTCAATCCAAAGCGTTTCATACTGTGAAGAAGTAAAAAAAATATTATTAATAATAATAGTATAGTATAACGTAATAATAATATTGTTATTATCACATTAATTTTATTATCATATAATATACTTATTCAGAAATCGTGAGATGCCGTCTGGTGTGCTGTAGGTTTCAGAAAAACATTTTCTTTATCGTGCCAACGTTTCGAACTTTATTGAGATCATCTTCAGTGCCTGGGATTTACAAATATTGTTTACATTTAACAAATACATTTAGGATGTGGAAAAGTGAATTTGTACAATGCAAAATATATTTTTTTATATTCAATCAAAGTATTTCAATCAAGTGTCAATGTATTTGTTATATGTAAACAATGTTTGTAAATCCCAGGCCCTGAAGATGATTTCAATAAAGATCGAAACGTTAGCACGATAAAGAAAATGTTTTTCTGAAACCAATATCACATAAGACCGCATTTCACGATTTCTGAATAATTATCGATTAACGGTCACTAATCACCACACATATAATATACTATAAAAATGGTATATAATAATAGCATTACTGCATAGAAATTTGTAAATATATTTTAGATATTATTCAGATGTTTACTGGAACATTTTCAGCAAAACCGGTTCAGTAGGTTTTGTGTCTATAGTATTGAAACATACGAATAAACTGGGTGTCCCAGTTCCTTCTGACGAAGCTCAGGGAATCGATTCTTCTCTTCGTTTGGAGCAAAAAATGCTCAGGAGAAAATTTTTGGAACGTTTCCTATTTTGAAGATATTCGTCAATTTAGGTTTTTTGAACTTTTCACTACCTTACCACATAAAAACGCTTACAACTTCCTTAGGTTACCAAAAAATACCTACAACTTGTCAAATTTCATAAAAACTTCTTCCTCTAATATGCTTTACGTTGATATATCCAGATTTTTAAATAACGTTCTAGTAGAGTTGAAAAATCAAAGTAAAGAATGTTAGAAGAAGAGGTTTTTGTGAAATTTGACAAGTTGTAGGTATTTTTTGTGACCTCAGTAGAACGTGCAATCATGACCAAAATTTTAAATTTTGCAATTTTGACATGTTCCCACCGATATTGGCTTACATTTTATGTCATTCAGTTTATTGCAAATAGAAGTATCTTACAGCAAATTTAGCGTTCTTTCAAATGGTGTAATTGGATTTCTTTTAGTCTCAACATTTTGGAAATTGTAAGCGTTTTTATGTGGTAAGGTAGTGAAAAGTTGAAAAAACCTAAATTGTCGAATATCTTCAAAACAGAGAACTTTCCGAAAATTTTCTCTTGCGCATTTTTTGCTCCAAACGAAGAATAGAATCGATTCCCTGAGTTTCGTCAGAAGGAACTGGAACACCCTGTATATATAAGGTAATGTACATATATANTTACCTTATATATATATATACACTATACGTATATATAAGGAAGGTAGGTAGGTAGGTTTTTCTGAAAATGTCACAGTTTATTTAAGTCCAATCTCTGAACTTTTGGGACAAAGTTTGGCCTTATTGAATGTAAAATCTCTTCCATCCAGGAAACCTTGAATTATTGGACTTTTTATTAGAATATTTTTAGCTTGTAGATTTGTGAATGAAACCTAGAAATTTAAAGAGTGTTTGTGAATTTAACTTATCACAAAATTCCTCTCAAGATTCTTTTTGCAATTTGTATATTTCGTTTAATTTCGGCCCACGATGTTTATAGGTTAAATAGTTTTCATAAATAAGGCTCTGTTTATTATTTGTTAGTTATTTATTTTGCGTTCGTTTAATTTAGAGGCAGGCTCATTCGACAAATACACCTATGCCGACTTTTTTTCTTTCTCTTAATAATTCAGATTGAATTTGTATTCATGAACACTCTGGATCATGGTACGGTCTTGAAGAAGAAATCAAATTCAATTGTCACTGCTAAGTTTTTGACCTATTTTAGGGTCAACACCAGGTAAAACATATTTAAGTTTTTTTTCTGGTGATCTTAAATTTGAAGTACCAACCAAAGTACTCTAACAGTATTCTACATTATTTGTTTTGTGCATGCATTCTGCATATTTAGGATTCAACTTTGCCCTAAAGAACTTAAATTTTGGATTTTTGTCCAATTTAATCGAGTCGTATTCCACTTACGACAAGGTTTAAATTGAAAATGTCTTAGGTGGGATATTGTGAAATTTAAGTAATGCCGGTATGTGGTTTGAACCCAACGAATCGTCGCCTACTGTTTAATCCAATATGCAAACTATCCTGCTACTACAAAAAACATCGAAGGTCGATTTTACGCGATGTATTATCGCTGAAAACAATGTCGGTTTTCAGGTGTTCAGGTGTTCAGGTAAACCTTTCGTTTGTATAAATTAATTCGTGTTCATTTGGTACGTCTAACAGACTGCGACCTTTATTGTCGTAAAGCTATTTCTAACAGCCGCGTGATGGCAATTAAAATCTCCGCAGATTGTAACTGGTATCGGGAGAGTGGTTCCCTTTGTGTAATATTGTTCTGTGGTGTGTTGTAAAGCGAAATTATATTTATATACGACCCACTTATTTTAGGGAAAATTGACACGAACACGCATTATATTACATGGACATGACCATATATTTTTTGTACAGTATGTGGTTTTTAAATAATAATGCGATTCAACATATTAGATAGAATAAATTCTTTCAATATGTAGATTTGATAGATTCTTTCAAGATCTTCCGTTTTCTCTATCACATCATATAATATTGTACTTTATAAAGGGTAGAAAAGATCAGGGCAAAACCATGTTTCCAGGATTGTCACAATGCTAACGTTTTTATTATGAATATACGTTTCTAAATTTCCTTTGTTTGCAACGATCGAGCATTCCATTGGATTATCGACAATTTGTTTTAATAAGGGAGAGGGATTTATACTGGCATATTCTTTTAACTTTTCTGGGATTTCAATCATAATTTCTTTTAAAACTTTGTACACAGCTTCGAAAATTGCATTAAAATTTAATGTTTTTTCCTCTAAATTTTCTTCAGAAGGCCACTACGGATTAATGAAAATTAAACCATCCGGTATATCTTTCAATACGGAGACAGTAGGGGCGTCGGTGGCCGCAACGGTTTAGGCGTTGACACGGCGCTCATCACTGTAAGGTAAAGGCCCCGGGTTCGAATCCAGCGGCCCTGCATTCATTCTTACCCCAAATATTTACAATTGGGCTTCTTTTCAAAAACACCAACACTCCGAGGGTTCATATAACCTCTGCTGTTGCGAACCCTCGTAAAAAAAAAAAAAAAAAAAAAAATTAGTTAAGAGACTGGAAAAGTGAAGATTTGAGGGGTTAAAAAAGTTGAAAAACCGGATTGAAAAAAAAAAAAAAAAAAAAAAATTAGACGGCTGAACATTTTTGTCTATTAATTGGCTAATTTTTTTCTTCCGGAGATCGATTTCTTTTACGTATAGTTAATTTATTGTGTGCAGGCAAAAAATATTTTACCATGTTAATCGTTTTCTGCACTCGTGGGAAAGTATGCGCATTATTTTATTTTGTTAATTGTGTATTATTTATTTTTATATTTTTTAAGTTTTAATAAATAGGCCCTGATGATGGCACTATAAGTTGCCGAAAGCTTGGTGAACCCGACAATTTGTCTTTTCCTTTCTTCACCTATCTACTGACCTCTATGAAGATTGAAACTCCACATAGATTAGCTGCAGGTCGATCAACAAACATCATATTTATTATTTCTATTTCTATTTTACTTCTGTTTTCTTTCCAGACAGGCAGCGACCTCTTCGGCTTCCAGTATAATTCTACGTCTCCTGCCTCTTTGGAATTCCGTTTCGGAGGCTTCAAAACTCAATATACACAAAAATCACGGTAACATTTCAATCCTTCTGCAGAGCATTTTGCGATACAATTATTTGATGTTAAAAAAAGATAAATTCCAAATGAAGAAACAACAGGCTGGATTAAACTGCCAAACAATTTTTAAAATATGCCTCACTCGCAAGAAGAATTCGTTCAATGCGTATTTACATATATCAAACAAAATTACAAGTCATCATTCGTTAAATAAATGAATGTTCTGTATTAGCTGCACAAAATATGAATTTAACTTTCATTACTATGAGCCAATTAATTAAGGTATTTTAGTTGAGTTAAAAAAATCAGTGACACGAGGGAGATTCGACCCCACGACCTTCGGCTAGATACGCCGCTACTCTACCACTTGAGCTATCGTGACTTCGATCCACTCGGACATCAACTTCCTATCTCAACCCTACCTTTTGAATTTTCCCTCCTTTTTGCCATTTTTCAAATTTCGTGCAATCTATTTTATTCTCGGCGACAATTGAAATAACCACGGAGAGGTTTAGTGAAGTATACTTCATTTTAATTCAGTAAATTCGCTAGTTTTCGTGGTCCGCTTGACCAATTAATATCATTCAATGAATTAAGGTTTTTTTAGTAGAGATAAAAAAGTCAGTGTCACGAGCGGGATTTGAAGTTTTACTACGAAAAATAGTAAATTTAATGAAATATACTTCACTAAAGCTCTCTGTTGCCATTTCATTCGTCGCCGAGAATCAAATAGATTACACGACATTTGAAAAATGGCAAAAAGGAGGGGAAATTAAAAAGGTGGGGTTGAGATGGAAGGTTAGTACCCCTAGTGGCAAGTCATGATAGCTCAATGGTAAAGTGGCGGCGTATCAAGCCGAAGGTCGTGGGTTCGAATCACTTTCGTGACACTGATTTTTTTATCTCAACTAAAAAACCTTAATTAATTGAATGATATTAATTGGTCAAGCGGACCACGAAAAATAGTGAATTATTATGAGCATTCAATCCTTAATTGCCTAACTTGATTTATCTTGATTCCCACCAGATATGACTAACCTGAAGGTTAGTTTCCCATCATTCTTATTAGAAACATTGACCGATTGTCATTAAACTATCATCGAAAAAACAATTTTAATTAGGAAATTCAAAGGAAAGGATGTGCTCACGATACCAACAAATATGCCA